GCTGGCTATGTCTTTGGAAAGTCTTAATATTGATGTTTGTTGTCTATCCGAGACCCGTATTCAAGACTGGCGAAGTACTACAAATTCGCTCTACATCTGTCGCTTCGAAAAGCTTGTTTTACGTGCGCTTATCCGGGGACCCTGTGGCATCTTCGTCTGGTCTTGCAGGCGTTGGTGTCGCACTAAGCGCTAGAGCTGAGGCAGCACTAGTCGATTGGATCCCCATTAACAGTCGGTTATGTGCTGTTAGATTAGAAAGTTCCATCAAAGTGAGAAGAAATCGGCGTGAGAAACGATGTCTTTTCGTCATCTCCGCCTATGCTCCGACAGATTGCAGCCCGGATGCAATCAAGGATGAGTTTTACCACCAGTTATCAGTTCTTCTCCAGAAAGTGCGTTCGACAGATATTGTAGTACTAGCCGGAGACTTGAATGCTCAGGTCGGGCGTCTAGGCACAGAAGAGAGTCGTTTAGGTGGCCGATGGGGACTCGTTGGTCGCAGGTCAGATGACGGGGACCGTCTACTGCAACTTTGCACACACCTGGTGTGAGTGAAACAATCTGCGAGGATGATGGGATGCCAATCACTAACATCCATCGACGTCTTGGACGGTGGGCAGAATTTTTCGAAGGGCAGTTCAACTGGCCTGCTGCTCCAGCAACATCGGTCAGACTGTCCTGCCCTCCATGGCCGGTGACGACTGATCCACCGAATGAGGAGGATGTCCGCAAGGAACTCCAACTCTTGAAGCGTTACAAATCACCTGGCCCAGATGAATTACCTCCGGCTCTTTTTAAAGATGGTGGTGACTTTTTGACTAAGGAATTGACGACGTAGTTTACAAAGGTTTGGGAACTAGAGAGTGTACCAACGTCATGGAATGAGCCGATAGTTGTCCCTATCTTTAAAAAGGGTTCACGTCGTTCCTGCAACAACTATCGGGGGATAAGTCTACTTCCGATTGCGTCCAAGCTATTGGCTTCCGTCATGCTTCGTAGGTTGTTCAAAACCCGAGAAAGATTGACTCGCGAGGAGCAGGCTGGGTTTCGTTCTGATCGAGGATGTATTGATCATATCTTCACCCTCCACCAAATGTTAGAACGCCGCCATACTTATCAAAGGCCAACAATCGTAGTGTTTCTTGACATCAGGGCTGCTTCGATTCGTTGAACAGAACTGTTCTCTGGGATTGTCTATTGAAGAAGGGTGTGCCTGAGAAGTTTACTAACATCCTAAAAGCCCTATATAAAAACACCTCAGGCAGAGAGAGGGCATACAACCGCCTCTCTCCATTGTTCCATTCGAGTAGTGGGGTTAGGCAGGGTTGCCCAATCTCACCATTCCTCTTCAACTTTGCCATCGATGACATTCTGGAAACAGCTCTGATGAATGTAAGTAATGGTGGTGTGGATCTGTTGCCTGGAGAAACTTCTCGACCTTGAGTATGCGGACGATATTGTCTTGCTGTGCGATAATGCCCAAGGCATGCAATCCGCACTTAATCAGTTGGCAATCAGTGTCCGTAGGTATGGTATGTGCTTTGCACCTTCGAAGTGCAAAGTACTCCTACAAGACTGGCAGGATTCCAATCCTGTACTCACCCTGAATGGTGAGCAGATAGACGTAGTTGAGAAGTTCGTGTATCTGGGTAGCTGCATAAGTGCTGATGGGGGTGTGAGTGATGAGATCAATGCACGAATAGTGAAAGCCAGAGCGGCTTATGCCAATCTGGGCCACCTTTGGCGCCTTCGTGATGTTAGTCTGGCTGTAAAAGGTCGGATCTACAACGCGTCGGTGAGAGTAGTTCTGCTCAATGCTTGTGAAACCAGGTCTCTCCGAGTTGAGGACGTTAGACGACTCTGTGTTCGATCATCGCTGTCTCCGAAGGATTGCTGACATTCAGTGGCAACACCATGTCAGTAATGCAGAGGTTCGGCATCGTGTGTTCGGGCACCGAGATGATAATTCAATTGGTGTCACCATCTTGAAACACCGACTTCGGTGGCTTGGACATGTTCTCCGAATGTCGTCCCAGAGGATTCCACGTCGTGCATTATTTGCCGACTCTGGGACTGGTTGGAAGAAGCGGAGAGGTGGTCAGTGCATAACATGGTGTCGTGGCATGAAAGAAAGCTGCAAAGGACTGGCTTCTGTCGGTCCTTCACGACTCCCTGGTTGGGGTCTGAGAGATGGTGCTACACAGTGGCTAGAGACGTTATCAGATATGGCTCAGAATAGAAGCCAGTGGCGATCCTGTTGTAACCTTTTACTTTCTTCATAAAAAGTGGTAGTGTCTCCCTTACCTGAAAGATTTCTTCTGATTGTACCTTTTCGTTCCCTCGTTACTACCACACTACCTTTACACCAAGCTCTTCGTTATTGTTCTCTTTTTCTTTTGCGCTTCTTAGTTGTTTTGTACTTCTCTTCGAATTTTCATTGTTTTGTGTGGCGCATATATATTGGCGCTCTCTTGTACCAATATTCATGTGTTCAAATAAATAAAAACAATTCAATAAATAGTCAATATCATACGAAATTCCTATGATGGATTAAACTGCAAAATCGTGCAAGGAGGACAGTTGACAGACTCGTTCGAAGTCAAGACCGGTGTCAGGCAACGTTGCTTACTCTCACCCTTTCTCCTAGCGATCGACTGGATCGTGAAGACGTCAACATCTGAGGAGAAGCATGGGATACAGTGGACATCTAGGGTGCAGCTGAACGATCTAGACCTGACAGATGATCTGGCTCTTCTATCGCACACGCAACAGCAAATACAGGAGAAGACAACCAGTGAAGCAGCAGTAGATTTCAACATACATAAAGGGAAGAGCAAAATTCTCCGACACAATACAACATGCACCAAACAAATCACACTTGACAGAGAAGATTCGGAAGATGTCAAAACCTTTGCATATTTGGATAGTATCACTGATAAACACGGTGGATCTGATGCAGATGTGAAGGCGTGAATCGGCAGAGCAAGAGCAGCATATCCACAAATGAAGAACATCTCGAACTCAAAACAACTGTCAACCAACACCAAGGTCAGAATTTTCAATACTGTTGGGGACGATACACCCCAAAAACTCATATTTGTAATTTTATCATATCGATTAAATAATTAATAGCAGTCAATTGATGAACTCATTGATTAATGTTTTAAATTTCCCATGACAATATTGATTATATATATTTGTATATATACGTTTTAAATTGTGTTTGTGGGCTCGCTCGTTTTCTGGCTGTTTGCAGAATATATTTTCCATACCAAGCTTGGACTCCTCCTTCTAGGTAGCAGGGCTGGAACGCATCAATAGCTAGATTACTGGTCTTTGGTCACTGAGTCTTGTTCTCGTTCGCAGATTAAGTGAACCCGTGAAGCTTCAAACCTAACAAATACAAATGTCAAAACAGTTCTACTGTATGGGGCGGAAACTGAGAACTACAAAAGCCATCATCCAGAAGATACAATTGTTTATTGACAGTTGTCTACGCAAAATACTTTGGATTCGTTGACCAGACACTATCAGCAACAACCTACTGTGTGAGAGAACAAACCAGATTACAGCGGAGAAAGAACCGCTGGAAGTGGATATGACACACATCGAGGAAAGCACCCAATTGCATCACAAAGCAAGCCCTCATATGGAATCCTCAAGGCCAAAGAACACATTACGCCGAGAAATGGAGACACATTAGAAAAATGAACAACTGGACAGTAGAAAAGAAGGCCCAAGACAAAGTGGGTTGAAGAATGCTGGTCGGCGGCCTATGCTCTATTATGACTAACTTGCGTACGTAAGTAAAGTAAGTAGGTGGATGATCACAGAAAATATTAAAATCACTTTTAAGGTGTGAATCCACAGGTATTACGTTTTAGTTATAATTTAAGTGGACTGACAGATATTCGATTATTTTAGTTCTTTTGACATATGACCCTCACATATTTGGGAGCATGGTATGATAGATATGTCATCTGTGAAATATTATCTATTATAACATTTGTCTTTTTCAAACCTCGATTTCTACATACCAACTTGTAGACACTATTACACAGAAAGCTGGAGAAAAATATTTCTAACACCTGTATGATATGGTAAGTTTCTAGAGAAAAAATTATTCACAAATACTTATTCCTCCCCCTAATTACTTTGTAATCAGAATAAAACACCAAACGGTTATAACTATTGAAATCTGTCTACGGTGGACAGTATCAGCCCAGTTCAACATTGAAAAGGTTTCGATTCATAGTATACCGTTAAAACTGGAAATACGAAAAAAATCAGAGATTATTTCCGTAAAAATTATTAAGATGAATGGAAATCACGTTCATTCCCGTTTACGTATCTTTATACTCCAACAAAATAACTCACATTTCCATGTAACGATAATAATTGGAATATGTAGGAAATAGACTTGAATAGGACAAATCGTATTTGTTAATAACTAGATTTTCACTTGTGAAATCTGAATTGTGATTTTTGCGATAATTTACTACATTTATTTGTTGTTTCTTATCCACACAACCAATAAATTTAATTTACATTTTAGGTTTGTAACGTTCATACCTTTTCTGATTCGCAAGATATTTTATTTACTGTTTATAATCTGAAACTGGGTTATTTGAATAATACTACTTTTCATATTCAACGGGAAATGTTGTCTAGAAGCTTGGATTACTGAAAAGTAATTCATTTGTAGATACCCTTCAGAAATGAATTTTCAATCAAATATCCACACACATAAATTCATTATTCCGAAAACCGAGCAAATACATCAATGATGCATTTGGTAAGTAATCCAATCACCAAACGATTCTAAGGATTGGGTTGGAATAAAAAAGATAATCACTGTTAACAAGAAGATAGCCACTACAACTACAAGTAATGTTATTCATAAGGCAAAATATCTATCATGAGACACATCAATTGTATATACAGTCCCATCACATAACACAAACTATGGTACATAACACTAAGAGCTCAAGCAATTTGTTATAACAATTGTTTATTTTTAAGATATTCCAATATATTTCTGCTACAGAGTTTGTACATCTTATGCTCATCAATACAGTTCAGTAAAACGTTAGAGATATCCCGAAAATTGAAACTACAGCTAAGGGCCAATCAGGCATTTTAATTACATTCGCAATGAGAAATGCAGATGTTGTTGATATAATTTGAAACGTAATTAACAAATCAAAATGAGACTTGTTAAACAGCAATCATGAATGAAGTGTTGCATATGTTTAGTGAAAAACATACAGAACTAACTCATCTGAATAAAAGTCATCCTTCTTAAATCTAAAAAAGATAAGATAATGGACACTGTGAAAAATGTCACAAGAAAACGAAAAGCAGGTGATGTGTAGTATGCATACTAACAAATAAATGATTAGTAAAAAAAGATGGAAATCAAAGCGAACACAGTGTGTGCAACATACTCGGATTGATGAGTTGGATAGAACAAAAATTAAGATTGAATAGTAGGTTGGCCCTAAAGTGGGCATTGATTTCTCCAACGATAACTTTCTAGTATTAAACTCAAGTAGCCCTAATGGTTTAGGATTCCCACATCGGTATATATAGAGGGGAAAATTAAGGATTAGTTGAGAGAACGAGGAAGCAATCACAACAGAAAACAATTTGTTTTGAAAATATGTTAACAAGATTATATTGAACAACAAAAATTTTGGAAGTTAAAGTTGATAAACAGGATGAACTGAATAAATAACATACAAAAAAACATTTTCGTCAACGAATTAAAAAAACAAAGAAGGAAAAGGGAAAGAAGGATATGAAGATAGAATTAAAGAGAGAATCACTTTTTGAGTGAACCTGATTTTCGTTTACGCACAGACGATGTAACGTCACTCTGATCATCAGAATCGGAAAGGGTTGGATTTGGATCCGAAGAAGTGGAAGATAAAGCAGGCGTTGTTTCGCTATCGATGTCGGACTGCTTCGGTTCACATTTGATATGAGCGTCGAGCATCTCCTTACTGACTCCAAATTCATTAATACGATTGGGATCCATTGGATATATCCAACGTTGATATAAATAGATGAAAAATATCACGTCTAAAAGGAAAGTAAGAAATAACAGTGAAAAATCTAATCAGACTTATGATATAAGTACCTTACACCACTCTATTTTCAATTGGTCGCACCTAATATTCTTGCTTTGTCCCCTTATACTATTTAAACTTGGGTTAATTTTAGTTATTCTCTGAAGAAGTGGCTTACATTGAGTCACGAAACGTCAGAAAATTTAATTCTTCTACCCATTGGGATATTACAAATACATTATTTTTATTTATTTCAAGACTATAGTTTATGTTTGAATAAAAATTCACCAACATATGAAAAGTGTGATATTAAACTGCGTACAATTAATGTAGTGATTTAAGGGTGAAGTGCAAAAAAAGAAAACCAAACTATCATAATATAGCAGTGTGTGTGATTATTTTGTTCTAATAATTGAAATATTTTTTCTAAAGAGAATGATATTCGTCTAAATACATCTGCTACACTGATAAGGCAATTCAGTGTTGAATATATTGTTCAATATATACTTAATTAACGACAGTAGCATAACTTGATTCCCACCAACTGTGACATTAAATAATTTGTACAAATGAAACAATCCAGACCAATCAAAATGATAGATTTTTTAATTTTTTGAAAATCGAAATATTACACTGGGTTTTTCAAGACACTACCTTTTATGTCAACAGTTTTGGACTAAGCTAAAAGAACATATTCTTAAAAATTGAGTCTTACCGTCACGTAGACATCCAATTCGATACAGAGTAGGCATGCGGATAACAAACGCAAATAAATCATCAATAAATGTATTCAGTGCTTTGTATGTTAACATTCTCCAGGGAAGATGAGCAACAGATTTCATTTTATAATTGATAAACAATTGTGGGGTCATCATGATGAAACCTTCAAAATATACCAAATAAAAAAGGTTTAAATGTTAGATATCATACTGTGTGATGTAGGATTTATTGAATACTTCGTAAAATATCCTTCTCATCACTGACAACTAATCGAAATGTACAGCAAGATTAATTTGCTGATAAGGTTATTGGATCCATTTATTTGAACCATAAAGCCCATTTAGATTATGATTTATTGCAGAGAAGTAATCAAGTGTTGTTAAAAGTATGGGTGGTTTTTATTTTCCGGTTGCTCAGTCGTGGAAGGATACTTCGTCTTAAAACACATGAAAAAAACGAATCAAGTGTTGTTTTGACGGCATGGTAGAGTAACTACAGTGAACAAGGAACAATTTTACTTGAAGTCAGTTAAACATAACCTTTTGTGAGTAGCTTTGGATGAGCTAGCTCCATACTTTTAAGGCCTAACTGTTGGGGACGGCAGTCTGTGTGGTAAGGTGAGGTGTGATATTTTCAAAACCAGACTTTTTTAGCCTTCTCTTTCTCCTGCAGAATGGAGGCATCTTTGCACATGATGGTTATCTAAAAGAAACATCTTAGTGCCGTCACATTATAGTGCAGCACGACTTTACCTTCAAAAACTGAGTTTGCTGCTTTTAGTTTTATTGCTTTCCGACTAACCTGATCCGCAAAGTAGAACCTAAATGAACGAGTGTTCCACGACATTTAAGTTCAACTATCAAGTCAATGTACCAACTACATTCAGGAATGTGTTAATAAACTACGTGGAAATTTAGTTTCATAGACAACATAACTAGTAATAAAAATTAATGTTTTAAGATAAAAATGGGTCTCAATAAAAAAAATCAGCAGTCATAAGCAAGAATGATTAGACCTGAAAGGGACTGTCGTACTTGATCACAAACAAGTAGCCATTTAAACACCAATAGTTAATGGATCCTATGTACAAAACTAAGCAAAACATTGTCAACTAATAAGTTCGAAACAGAAAAGAATTCGTGATCCCAATAAATTTCACCCCATCTAACTGTAAAATGTGTATTTGCTAAACGTTGACCGATAAATTAGAATTTTAGTAACATAATTACCACAAACATTAAACAACTACTGATACACCGGTTCACAACGGACGACACTAAAACACATAAATTTATTCCACTTAAATTAGTCTGGTGAACTAAAACACCTGGTATCTGCAATTAGGATTGCTAGTCACAAATTATATATATATATATATATATATATATATATATATATATATATATATATATAGGGATCTTACTATCCAAGTAACTCATTGAATACAGCCAAGAAGTAAATTGTTGTAGAGACCACTGATTTCAGTACATGCTTGTCGTTTACATATTACAATAGTGTCTTATTAATTTTAGATGTTTAGAGAAATAGAAAATTGAGATTTCATTAAGTTAAAGACATCAAACAGCAAAAATTCCATGAAATGTGAAAATCTAACATTGAGAGAATAGTTATTCGGGAAATCTAGAATTCGATAATGGACTTGTGGACATCACTCAACCATTGGCAATAAAAGATATTATTAGTAATGCGTAACAAAATTGAGTGGAAAAGTTCGGTGTTGATTATTTAGTAAATGATTGATGATTGAGTTTAATAAGAAAATGATAAAGTCTAGTTTATTGTGTGAAAATAGTTATATATATATATGCCGTTATACTATTGTATTAAATTATATAGCGTAAATACACACCGTTCGCTTGATTTATTTTAATCGACAATGATTGTCATGTGATCAAAATATATTACGCTGTAACCCAATGAAAGATGAATGAATTGAAGATTTGAACGCTGTTCTACAATTACTTATTTTAAGCTACTTCGATAGAAATTAGTGGCTCATTCCAAGTGTATAACATAAACTTACCGAATGTCAACAGGAAACCGTAAGAGACAGAAAGTATCCACGAATACCAACCACGATGCTCTTCATATATTAATGAATATCCACAATAAGCTGCTAACAATGGGAATAAAATCCACGATAAATATCGGAAAGCCATCTGGAAAATATTAGAAATTCACATATAGTTTTTCTCTCAAGATATGTAAATGCCAAGAAACTGATACAACAGAGGTGATAAACTGAGTATATTATAATACACGCCAATAAAAACAATAAAGCTTGGTATGCTGGAAGGTTATATGAACTTGTGAACAGAGTCTGTCTTAATACTGGAAAACTACATCACATATAACACGACTGCTTTTTCAACACTAAAGAGAAGCTATCTTTGTGCATTATTCTGGGAGAGATTTATGGACTAGAATTCAGTTTTAAACAACAACAGATTAATTATATTCATCATTCTTCCATATATTGTCATAAAACAGACTAAATGTTCAATAACTCTGGTATTATAAACTACATTACAGGTGACTGAGTATAATAATATAATGTTTAATGAGTGTGTGTGGGATTGTTAAATTTTTCTAACACGCTTTACTATATAAACATTATAACAAGAGAAAATTTCAATATAATATAATTCACCTGATCATATTTTTTCGTATCACTTTCTACATATGATGATTGGTAATCCACATGAATACGTGGAAATACATTGAATACCAACGAATCATAATCCAACTACATCAACGAAATAAGGAAAATAAAATGAGGTGATACTACTGAATGTGTAAGAGATCATTTCAAAAAATATCATCAGAAGCTGTATGGAAATGCATTTAATTATGCCATTAATTTTACAGTCAATACAGAGGGAGGAAGGCAAAAAGCTTTACACTCTTTTAGTGAAATATAAATTATTTTAGATGTGTTCAAATTTGGTAATATAGCCTGATGGACTAAAGCCAGGAGACCTGCTCAACCATTTGCAACACTTATTTTTCAACTGTGTAAATAATTCAACTAAAATAACTGTTCCATATTTGTTTGAACGGAATAGTAAAGGGACCAGTCTACAAGCCCCATATATTAAAAATAATCATGTGCACACTAGTGACTGGTCTCAGTAAGTCATCTATAATGTAGGACCAGGCGCATATACGCGTCGGTCCAAGTTGCTACATCTCATTAGCACGAAAAAATGAACACCAAATTCATAGAACTAGTCACTTCAATGGTAGCAATGTATAAAGGAAAAAATTGTGTATAAGGATATAATACAGGAAGAAAGAATTAGCTCGTGGAAATAAAGGTATAAAACAATTTTAATCTCACTGTTTAAGGACAGGCAAAGGATGTATACACCGACGCCATTGTGATCGATTCTCAGCCATGTCACACAGAGTCTCCAATCATTGGTTGTGACAGTCACGTGGACCCCAACCAAGTAGTCTGCATCTACCAACATGGCTAAAACTAGAATTCAGTGACTTCAAGCACTGATGCCACGTCTTGGTTTGGCCACCCCTAACTTCTTCCCAACCATCCCCAACACTAGTCAGCATTGCGTGTCGTGGTAATCGATGCTCAAGCATACGCATTACGTAGCCTAACCATCTCAGTTGATGAAGATTTATAACCTTATCAACTAATTTACCATCATTCTCTAATACCCTGGGTCCAACATCACTATTATTTACCCGGTGATCCCAACAGATGCGAGCAATATTTCTAAGGCAATTGTGACCATATACTAGTAACTTACGAGTATCCTGCACTCTTAATGGCCTTGTTTCGCAGCCATAAAGCAAAACAGAACGAACTACCACCCAGTATACTCATCCTTTAATTGATAGACGGATATATCGCCTTCGCCACAGGTGACGCAAGTTGGCAAAAGCCAAACAAGCTTTTCGAATCCGTGCTGAGATATCGTCAGACACCAACCCATTAGGGCTGATCACACTCCAAAGATACGTGAAGTTGGTAACGCGTTCGACTGTCTCACTACCTATCCTTAGTTCAGGTGTTGACGCAGACCAGTCCTGAAGCAACAACACGCAGTTAGAGGGAGAGAAGTGCATTCCGAACATGCTTGCATTGTTGCTTAGAGTGTTCAGAAGACTCTGCATTTTATCAGGGTCTTCACCAAACAGAACTATGTCATCTGCGTATTCTAAGTCGATAAGTAGACCTCCTGGAAGGAGATCAATACCCGAGAATTCAGTCGATGAGAATTTTATTTCCATCAGTAGGTCTATGATGAAGTTGAATAAAAATGGACATAGTGGACAGCCTTGACGGACACCACTTGAAGTTACAAAATCAGATGACGGTTCGCCTGGTAGTGTTTGAGTAAAGAGCCTTCACAAGATTTATGTATTTCTGAGGTACGACTTTCAATGATAGACACTGCCACAGAACATCTCGGTCAACAGAGTCAAATGCTGCTTTTAAGTGAAGAAAGACCATCATTGTCGGACGCCGATAAGTATGCTTGTGTTCTAAAACCTGACGAACGGTGAATATGTGGTCGATGCAGCCACGACCAGGTCTGAAGCCAGACTGATTTTCTCATGTTTGAGTTCACGGGTCTTATTTCGGCGTCCGATAATTATTGAGGCTAGTATTTTAGATGCTATAGTAATCAAACTAATCCCTCCATGGTTAACAACGGATGATTTTGACCCCTTCTTATATATTGAGACAATCAGTGATTGCAACCAGTCAGATGAGATTATGTCCAACTCCCTGATTTTAGCTAAAATATTAGTCAACCTAATCGCTAAAACTGGACCATCATACTTAAAAACCTCTGGATTTAATCCATCTAGACCAGCTGCTCTTCCCCGTTTCAGTTTAGCCATAGATCTTTGAACTTCAACTAGAGTCGTGGGGCCAACTTCAGTGTTCCATTCAGGTTGTTCGGGAATGTTGAGTAGTTGTAGAGTAGCTAACTGGTCTCATGAGGTAATTCAAGAAGTTCTGGTGAGAGGTTATGGCCAGCGAAGTTCAAACTCGTTGGGTGAAGCAATTACCCACTAAAAACAATAAAAGATAGTTGCTCAATATTGTGAATCGATAGAAACTAGACCTGCAACCACTGGGTGTCGACTCAGTGTTCTAAGCGCAAAACTGGAGCCTTGAAACTCAAATGTTTCGGAATTGATCCCAGATGGGGTCGTAGATGTGCATTACTGAGGAGTTCCATAATAGAGCAAAACAGTTGTCTAGTGCTTTTTGGTTACGAATTGTTTAACTTATGTTAGTTTCTCATATCTATGACATCAAACAATCTGCACACACTCGTACTGATAAGCAGTTATTTGTCGTAATACTGCACAATTGATGCTTAGGATTGTATGCTGTACAAAGATCAATGTAGGTATAAAACATACGATAAGTAGAAACAACTTAATAACTATAGGAAGATAAAGGAATGAATACATTTGAGGCACTTGAAATGAATTTGGGACAAAAGTACATGAAAAATTATCCAGCTTTTCTATATGGACTCTGATGGTTGATAACCTGTGAATACCTAGTTTAGGAAATCCACTCGTTAGATAAACAAAATTGTTCATTTTCAGATAACTATGTATGACTTTTTCCAATAATTTTGTTTTAAATATGTTTATTGAGTCAATGTTTCTCAGATAAGATTATATAACTTCAGGTTTTCTATTTACAAAAAAATTTCTAATTTAACAGAAAGACCAATCATTCATAGAATCTCTTTGTTTGTATAATTTAACTTACTCTGAAAGAAAGGACTTTCTTGATTTTCCAGATCTCAATTAGCAGTCCAAAAACAACTGATAGTTTTATAACAAAATTGGTATCGTTATCAAGTACGTACAGCACAACAATGAATGACTGGAAGACATTGAAAAACACAGAGCGAACTGAGAGACCTTCCAGTGATTCTCTTGTTTTCCAAAACTGTATATCTAAAGGGTTGTAAAAGAAATGCATTTCACACTTAAACACGAAATCAATTAGATCAAATAAGAATTGTTCGCAGAAGCATAAACCCTATAAATACATTTTAACCAACAACCACAAAGTCTTAAGACACTAGAGTGCTTTGACTTTTCTCTTCTATGAATGAAAATACCAAACTTTCAGACAATAGATGAATGTTTTTAACTAATGTATTATCTAGCCACTATGGAGAGTATGAAAACATCTAACTATAAAATCAGGTGTCTTGCCGGTATATATATATATATTGAAATTTAACAAAATAGTTTTTACGATGCTCACACTAACTCTACAGTCAAAACAATATTTGTTTTAAACCAGCGTGAAAACAGGAAGTTAGTAAGGAAATATGACATGACTTATTGAACTCACCATTTTTAAATGCTAACAATTCAAAAACGCTATGGACAATCGATACGACAACTGTTACAGCCAAAAGCAAAGGATTTGTTTCGATCAGTGCTTTCTATATATAACACGAAGAGGAAAAGGGAAAAATCAAGCATAGAATAACAAATAGAGGTTGAAATAAAGTACACATAATAAATTGTTGATTAGCGATATAAAAAGTGTCATGACTAACGATATTGTTTGACAAGTTGTTATAGAAGGCAAGTTTGTGATCAGCATGTCTTAGTTGGTATTATTAGACAGATGATGCACAATGATACACTATGACTGAATGAAAGCTACGAGCAAAACCGTATTACTAACGACACTCTTTAAATGAACTGATGTACAAAAAAACAGGTTAATTTGATACGTAACGTTTTAGTGAATGTTAATCTGAGAAAAATTAGCACAGTCATAAACACTATTACGTCACAGTTAACGTACAACCGATTCGATATTTTCAAGTCACTGACATGATATTGAAATTGAAACCCAGATATCCTACTTAATTTTTATCCATTATATTACAAATTATTTTCCGCAAACTTCGGTGCAGTCATGAGTTGCTTCATTGATATTCAGGAAATTTTATAATCCAAATTAGTGAGAAATGTTTTCTGATGTATGTGTTTTTGTTGTTGATCACTTTAGTTGCAATTTATCAACCTACACTTTAGCATAATGTACGAGAAAATATAACGCCTCATTGAAAAAACTAATCGTTCCGTCATTATCGGGTTTTATTTGACGGCGGTTAATTTTTTAAAGTGATTAACTGTTAATTATCAACGAAACGTTTTAAAATATCTGCTTCACTCATGAAAGTTAAGCAACTAGGTAATACCAAAATGCCCCTTCCGACCCATTTTAGAATTTCGGCACTAAATTCTACACTTTTGTGAGGACAGTCCACGGGTGAACTCGAGGAAGCTGTAAGAAGCTCAGAAAGAGCCGAAGATATTCCATCCAACCACCTTTTGGACGAATATTCTGGAATCGCTACGTGTAGCTTCCCGATTGAACAATGCTTATAACCCCCTGTGTGAAGATTGGATAGCTATAATAATGATTTTGTTTTTACTAAAAACTATAAATACCTGACGGTTTTGTACCATAATTAGACACGGTCTGGAATAATATTCCTTTCACTAGTTTTCTGTCTTCTCATTGCGAGTTGGAAGGGTTTTAGCGTTCTAGTGCTCAAGTAATACGCGGTATGTCAAGAATATAAGCTTTAGATATAACAACTTTTAGTTTGAAAAGAAACGTTTCTACAACTAAACAGTCAACTATTTATGACAAAATTTCAATACTATATTTCTCAATGAACGGTCACCTGAGTTCAGAAGCAATAAGTATTAAACAAGTATGGAGTACGATACCGTAAAGAGTTGAACTCCCCTAAACTACCGATAACTAAGTGCTAAAAGCCTATAAGGAAATGAAAATGGACGGCAGATAGATGACGTTCTGTTCAAGGAGTCTGGTTGGTTAGTGAATCAAATCTTTTTCATTCTTAATTCCCCAGTTGCAAACTAGTGGTTAGTATTTAGTTTGTCGATTTATAAATGAAAAATGTCATATTGATTTACAATTTGTACAAAATGGGTAAATGCAATATACCCAATATTCAAAAGAACTTTAACACACCTTCCATACCCACAAAAAATTACTTTGGTTACTGAAAGACTGGTGCAGATAATTCAACATAAATAAAAGATATCTCAGTATATTTCAAGTCATATTTGTGTGGATGTAACTTATAGCTGGTTAATCCAATAGACTCACTATGTGAAACTAATTTACGGATCAGACAGAAAAATGATGCAGAAAGATAGCCTTGAGTAGCCATAATTTGGTTTCAATTGCTTCTTGGCTGAATGGTTAAAGATTATTCTGTGTAGAGTACAATGATAGGTCGTTAATTCCTCATCATACACGCTGGTTGATAAAACATTTGTGAACAAACAAAATTCAATAGAACAGTAAATGATGATAATTCTGTTCAATTACACTTTTTGTTGTCTCTTCAGTTTACTTAAACTACTGAAACAAGATTCAGTAACTAGTATATTTTCGCTAAATTGTGTGGACAAGTGTGACATTTCGAAGACTTACCTATGGCTTATACCTGAATTTCACTTCCACAAAGAAAATGCAATAAGTAATTTTGGTTATGTGTTATGTTCAAATTTATAGATCTAATCATAACAAAAACTGTTTATATTCACAGAAACAATAAAAGATCAAAATAATTAGCGAACTGTTTTATGAAAACAAGAACGAAGTTCATGCTAAAGCTCAAAAGAAGCAAAACCTTTGTACTCCATATCATTAATTTTACCTTTATTGTATCTTGTTCCTCATCATTTTCATTTTCTGATGGTAACATAGAAGTGGCCATTATCTGGTTGAACCAAGTTTTCTTAGCTGTCTGTGCAGCGTACAACTGCCATTTAAATAGAGATAAAGGTGCTAAAGTAATATGAATTGGTAGTATTGGCGTAGTTTCATTCACTGGTTTATAATCTTCATTTAAATTCCAATAATCATTCAGATAAACAACAGGATAATATTCATTGGTCGGTGAATAGAACTCGATAACTGTAAAATTAGTAAAAACCCAAGCGATTTCAGAAATGTCCGTTCGTTAACTTATAAAGAAGACTAGTTATATATACGTATCCATATATACAGTGTATATAACAAAAATTATTAGTCAGAATTTATGCCATTTCTAGCAGTTGTATAATGTATAGCCTGTGTAGTGAAATAAGTGGTTGTCCCAGTCAAATTAGAAACAGTCCAAGTTTTCTAATTATGACAAAAAAATCATGTGCCATGATGTTAAAGGTCAAATGAAAACAATCTTTTAAATGAGATAGTATAGGAAGTAATTATGAGTTTATTTAGGGCATACAGAAGTAGGCAAAATAATGATGATCACTGCAAATACTAAATTTTTTTGATCAAATTAATGAGAACAGAAAACCTTTTACAGAAATGTGTATAAAAATTGGAGGTAATTGGAAAACAACAAATAATTCAGTCATACGACCGGTACATAATATACATATTCACATGATGAATACAACTGATCATTTCATGTTCCACTAAAGTGGAAATATGGTTACTATGTATGAAGAAATCAAGAGCACGATGTCGATTAAAATAGTTTGCATATTTTGAGGTCTTTTTTAAAAAAAACAATCGTCATTTTATTTGAGAAATACGTTAAATATTAAGCAAAAAAGCTGTTGAATAAAAGAAATGAGACATGCGACAAATGCCAATTTGTATAATTTTAGTCAGTACTAGTATCAATCAATGACGCGCAATCTACATATTGTATAAATGATGAATTAGAGCTGTACGGTGAGGGAATTACTGAGCGCAGTACGCATGCTTAGGGATCATGAATCTTTTAATTAGACCCTGGAAGATGTTGTAAGTAGTCGGTGAGAAAGCTCGATAACAATGGAACTCAGATATTTCACCACAGAGAAATTTTGATTTTCAATAAATATCAGTTTATAATAAATATAAAAATTTAACTTTTAAATGACGAGAAAATCTCGTTGTTTTCTATAAGTTCACTTGATGCAAAATTATAAATTAGTCTTTATTTTTCGCTTTAACTTTGTACACAAAGAACACGTTTGGTTGCATAGATTAGAAAATCGATAGAAGCCAAGCTTACAAAATGTTGAAAACATTCCATAAAAACTGCGTTAAATATGTTTATTATCTTGATAAATAACGGTCAAAAAGCGCATTTTAATCACGTTTAATTAACACAAACAAATAAACAACATACAATGTGAGTCACTAATCTACTGTGGAAGTACATACAACAACAAATTTTGAAACAATAAGCAAATGACATTGAAAAATAGCTACCACTTATTTCTTTTCTCTGACTAAATTCCACCAAAGAATAAAAGTTGATCAATCAATTGAAACATATAACAATGAGATTTACCGAAGAATAAAAAACTTAGATACAAAGCTGAATGTGGATTTAAAACTAGGCGGCCAAGAGTTTCACCAGAGTTTGGAATATACACTAGAACTTTGTATTGAACCCATTATTTACATAAAACGGAAAAAGCATAATGAGAACATGCAAAATAATTTTTTCGACTAATTTTGTAACTGCTAACCATTGAAATGAAGTAAAGGTCTATTTTAATAGAAGTTAGCAACAACAATTAACCATTGCTTTACAAATTACATACATATGAAACAGGAACAATAGCAGCTAGTCGGTTATGTTAACCACACCAATTAAATATGAAATTTAATGAAAAGTAGAGCTGAAAACATCCAATACTCCAACTTATAGTGAATCTTTAACTTTCTACATAACCTGATACAATCAAAGAAAAACAAATTCAGGAGCATAAACAAAATACTCGTGCATAGATGCTATGTTGACCTTACTTTCTTTTTGCTTTATGCACTACGAATGCAACTTTAAAAATATTATTGATTTTATGAGACCGAATTTCAGACTACCACCTTGAGTTATCATTGTCTGAAATGTTATTCAAATCCCAACAAACATTTGGTCCCAATGGTACATGTAGATTAAAATGATCACATACTGACCCAGAATACACTTAAATAACCTACTGTTTTATCCCTAGTTAACAAGTTTCACTGGTTTGATATTAACCTGTGAAAATATTCAGGTTCATGAAAATTTGAAAATCTAATAAGCAGACTATTTATCAAACAATTTACTTCTCTGAGTTTTTAATTGTAGCACTCATAGTAGGAAAAATTTGTTATGATAGAAGTAACAAAGAGAACAATGTGGAAACGAGCAGTGACTGTTTAAGAGACTGAACACTAGTGATTGTAATAAAAGTAGGAACTTGAAAAACGATATATCGATGAATTAAATATTTACTGTATATATCGATAACTTCATGAACAACTATCAGGTAATATTGTATGACACACTATGAAACGAAAATCACATTTCTTTTATTGAGTTACATGTGATTTGAAATAAAAGAGTAATAATGTTTGGTACTAGGAAACTTAAACTTCCAAGTATACGTATTAGATTAAAGCTGATAAAAGTAAAATTGTACACCACTTTTCACTGAGAACAATAAAATACTTACATTGATCTAAAGGAACTGGAACAGAACCTTTTACCCATGGAGAATGGTCATCGACTAAGTTAATAGTTAAATTTGGATGCCAATGAGTGATTGGAGGTAAATATTGTACATCAGATGGTGTCGAAGAGTCAGCTACCAAATCTGGATGGGAATCAGTATGACCTGTGATCAGATTTGTGGTACGGGATAAACGACGACGTTTGTAACGCGTCAACACTGAAACACGATACAGTAAAATAATTAATAAACCATGTGTTAATATTTAAACTGAGTCTTTTTTAAATGACTGCAATAGAGTTGTAAGCAGTACGAAATGTATGTTAGGTAAAAGGAAAAAAAGAGAAGCATTTTAATACCTACTTTTCGATTTATATACAGTATACTTCAGTGAATAGTTATTGCCCGTATTCGGATCTGGTGAGAAACCAGGTTTAACAAAATATACATGTATATACAATGAACCATTGGACATAAGGTTGGGAAACTAAAAAAAATAAAAAGAGAAAAATGGGGGAATGATTGATTTAACATAGTTTAAGGCAAATAATACACGTCGATAGGAGTGGTCACTTTCTATCGTGATAATCTACTATTTACAGGAAAATCGAAAATCTGGACAGGATTAAACAATTTACATAAAAATAAAAGTCTAGTTTGGTAATCTTAATAGACTCATGAATAGTCAGTCAGCCAGCTACAACGCAGGACCAGGCACACACGTGCATCGATCTAAGTTGCCATACCTCATGACTCATGAATAATGGATGACATTCATTTTGTGAGGGTTATTTACGTTAACCACTTATCCAAACCTTGATATGTTAAACGACAAAGGAAAGAGAGATAAGTAGGTTAGAGGAATATACTTTAAGGAAAAGGCTGAAGTAATAAAAACCAAGAGGTATATGCTAAAAGAAAGGGACCACGCCAAGACTTGAATGCTCAACGTAAAGGCTTATTGTCGTACAAGAAATTGATGGATGACTTTCTAGGATAGCTTGATTATAATCCATTCTTACTTTAATACATAAAATCACTATAACCAGCGGTTAATTATGTGTGGAATGTTTTTGAGCTGCTTCAGTCAATTCAGGTGTAAAACCTCATCGATAAGTTTTTTTTATCCAATAGTGCACAACTAGCACTAGCACGAATTACCAGATGGTTTGCCATTCACAGGCAGTTTCAAAAATGCGTATAATTGACTACTTGTAACTCCTACCTGTCCATAATTTTTATAGGATCATTTTGAAGACGTACAGTGACACAAAATCTCTTAGGATACTCAATCGTCCTGATATTTCGTTTTTAGTTCAACTATAAACAATAATCAGAAGTAAATGAGATTTGTATAAATGCCAAGATTTTGTAAGTCATTAAAATGCAAAAATTGATTAGACTACGCAGGTGACGTGAAATGCGCATTTAGTGTTATAAATTTATATCGTAAACTAGTTGCTGGTAGACTGTTATATATTTGAGTGTGACTAAATGAAGGCCTGGCACCTTTTCATATATTTCTAACTTTGGGTAAAGTGTCTTATTCATGACTGATGGATAGTGGACAACGGAAAGGTAGCCAGAAGCAAGTTGGACTGTCTATCAAAATCAACTGTCGTTATAAAAATTGGTCACACTAAATTTTCTTAGCAACACCCATGTAGATTGCTACCTTTTTTAGACTCGTTTCTTATAAATTTAAACAATCGCTTAACATTGCATATTGCCACTGTCGTACTTAAGTTTAATGCCAAAAACTTTTAGTCCAGATTCACTAAGCTTACACATTATAATGTGCTTCGCTGAATAAACCGAAATTAATTTACAACCACTTATTAATTTACAAGTAGTTATTGAGATTCGTTCACCCTATGAAAAGAAATGTTGAAGGATAATAGCAGTCTTTACTTTTATTTCACATTAGCCACTCTAATAGAACAGTTTTTAGGTTTTTCCTATGTATGTATAATATTATCCACCATCTCAAATTAAAGACTTTTGACTTAGCTATCTATACAATACAATCGCTACCGATGTGTGATCTTTCAAATGTAACTACGTTGGACCCATTACGGTGTATAAACATATGCTCGAAACGGAATGATCGCAAAGTGGTAGTCTGATTATTCACTCTTACCAATGGTGACAAGGAACTCTAAAGTTTACTTATGTCTTGATTCCATTATCATTAAAGTTAGCTAGATGTTGAATCTAATCATACAGAATACATTTGACTTCCAAAGTAGACTAGACATCCATAAGACCATTACTTTGTTAGGTGTTAGCAGAACATAGACTGGATTAAAGCATGCTCAATGCACGATTGCTTCAGTGCACGTTGATTGGCTAATTCTTATCCAATCAGCACTAGTCGGTACTTGGAGAATACTCTAGATTCTTCTCATGTAAAAACTATAAATGTACTAACGTTTTCTCTATTGTGCTTCTTGCTTCCATCTAACCTTTTTATTTGGAATATAATCTCTTTCCTGTTCAACCGTGTTCTGATTTGGGGTCTTGTCGAGTGATTTGGTGTCCAAGAATACTAAGCAATAGGAATAGCTGGGTTATAACCGTAAGAAAGAGATTACAACAGTTAGGACAAAACTGTAATTAGTGAATGTGTGGGTAGAAACTATGTAGACATGTTCATAAAGTCGTCAACTACATTTGAACAGCATAACCGTTTTATGACAGTTAACATTATAAAATACTGAAGCACAGGTTAAACAGAAACTTATTATTTATCTATGTTACGGTGTTCACACACTCAAAACAGCAAAAAGACCCACAAAAGCTCACCTGACTGCATTGAATTTCACTGATCTTTGAATATGAACCATCTCCGCCTGGCCCACCATTCCAATCCCCATACGTAATATTGGGTTCATACCAAAATAAAGCATTCGAGTTATTAAAGGAATGAAATGTTGGATCTTCACTTAAATAGACAAATAAATCCATCATAGAACCCGACTGATAAAGATTTGTAGCTGGGATAACTGTTTTGCTCGGATCCATTTGGTTAGGTGATGGACGACGAAACAAGTTGAGGACAAAATATGCTGTGAGCAGACGGAAAGCAAATGCCTTCAACATCCCCCATTTGTTCGGTTGAGCTTGTTGTTGTTGAACAGCAGGTGTTCCTGTCGCACTGACAGTTGGCATGGCCTAAACATGACAAATTGGAGGAACGGAACAAAAAATAAAATGTTTTACATTGTGATAGTTGTGACACAATTGATTTATATTTGGTATGATTACATTATAATTCTACGCAGTGAGGTTTTAGAAGTTAGCAATTGCGTACTTTTACTTAAAGTACCAGGTTCTACTGATTATAGAGACAACCCTGATCACAATACTAAAGTAACAGTTATAAGAGAATGTAATGTAACAACCAAATACAACCATACATACAAACCCGACTTATCAACTAACGATATCATTACAACGTTAGCATATTACCAAGTGTTGCCAAGTGAAAACCTGACAAAGAATGGAATTCAAAACTGAAAAGTAATAAGATGCATCACAAACTGAGTATTAGAACCGTTTGCCATAATTGGTGAGAGCCGAATTAGACAGCTGAAGTAGCTTATTCCTTGGTGTCATGCTATGCCGACCATTACTAAAACAAAACAGTAAACCACCTGCAAGTGTTCAGTTTATCCTACTAGTAATGAAGATATTATTTGCTTGAATACTATCAAGAATTATGGTTCTCAAAAAACTAACTGATGGTCAAAGATACTTCACAGCACCATGTTTTTAGATCAATACTTGGAAACTATGAAGGTATGATGGTCTAGTAATCGAATAATTGGGCTTATAATCGTTAGTTAACAGATATCAAATTGATTTGAACGCTTTCAGCTTTCCGTCAACTTCTATTCTAGACAACTCAGATATAAGACTACCGTGGTGATGCATTTCATGGGACTATTTTTCACGAACGACTGGATTCAGCAAGAAAACATAGACGGTAGCAACAACCACTGTTTTGGAATGGAGTTTATAAACCTTACAGTGCATTCAGAGTAGCACAATATTTACAATCCAATTTGTAAAAGTAAAATACATCATTATCTTGGACAGTGACTAATTTAGTCGGTGTTATAGTCTTGAAACATCAGTTTCAGTAGCTTGGAAATGTGCTGTGAATGTCCCCCCAGCGAACTCCGTATCGTGCATCATCCGCAACGCTAGGACTAATTGGATTAGACGGGATGGTCATTTAGTGAATGACGAAGCACAAAACTGGCTTTTCAGTCTTCAGTAATAAGGATAGTAGGTTGGTGAACCTGTGTTATTCGTTTGTATGTCCTTCGCGATTTCTTAGCTCGGGTCCTAGCGACAGTGCATTACAGTGGCTTGAGATGTTAATAGACATGTCTGACAGTGAAAGCCAATGGAAGTCCTGTAGTGACTGCTTTTACTTTCCCAAAAGTGAAACTATTTTAACAAGCATTCTTCTTGGTTTTATTTTCAACTGTACAACTTTTCCCATCGCATTTTACTCACATTCACTTGTTCTTTTTATTATGCTCACATTCCTTTCCTTGTCATTACAATCTCATTTCCTTATTACGGGGCGCATGTTTATTGCGATACCCTTTTGTAACGACACGAATAAAACAGAATAGAAAAAAGAACACATTGTTTACCTCTTCAGGAGTAGTGTCAGGCATTTCGAAGTTTGAAGTTCCCAGGTCTAAAACAGAAGTGAGAAACTGGATAAATGACAGTAGCGCACAAGTTGATATCAAGAGCTCAGAAAATGTTCAGACGCCGCACCATACGATATCTCGTGAATATTACACTAGACTGCTAATTGTTGATCAAAATAGAAATCAAATCTTGCTAAACAAAACCGATTGAGACCTAAAGTATTTACGGAATTGGAGATTTAGATGCTAGTACTAAACACAGTATACATACTACAATTTAGAAAAAGCGTTGACCAAGCCTTTTAAATCTACGGTGAACATAAAAATTGTATAATATATAGCGCACTTACATGAGACACTAGGGCAACGCTTCAGTGGTATAGTCCACTGACGGAGGTTGCGAGCACTTGAAGGTCAAACTGTCGCAAGATTATTTGTGCGTCATATCGACAATGCATGAAGTCTTTCAGAAGCGGTCAAATCAAGACATTTTTATGTAACAGTATTATAAATCGTTACATGTGACGTTACTAACGTGAGTTTGTTTTCCTCATTGCAGGGCAACAGAAAGTAAACGTACTAGAAGAAGAGGAACAAGCATTGCACAGGCTGAACCTGCAGAACAATGAATAAACCCATTTTGTAATAAGCTTCCCTTTTTGTACTCAAACCGCGTCTTTCAATTTTCAAATATATCTCTGTTGTGCCAGTACGCCGTGTTCTTACTTCAGTGGCATTTACCGGTCCTGACTATTGTGTTGTGTTTCAGATCGCTCCTGCTTGCAAGTAAACGCTAATAGTACGTGCTACATATAGATTTGAATTGAGTTCAGCCACACCATGTGTGATAACATCCATCCTTCAATTAACGAAGACGATGCCATCGTGATGATGCATGAGGTAGGACGAATCTTCAATGATATTATGTTATTTCGTCGATTTCCAAGTTGGGACAATTTTGAGACCTATTTGAAAGAAGTACATAAGGTAATATGACTTCTTTAGTTAATAATTGTTTTTGTTGTGTAGCGGTAAATAAATCCCTAAAATAAATAGCCCTGTAAATTTTCGACATTGGATGCTGACCATATGTTTTAGTGGACTCATCTAGCTGAAGGCGCTCGGTCATGCATCCGCACCAGATCACGTGTGGTAACGCCGTGCTCAACATCAACCGCAATCGCTAGCCAGATTAGATCAGAGAATTCCGATATATTTGTTATCGCCAAATACACTCTTCCGATCTCCTCGACTCTGTCTTTTGATTTCTCTGGGTTGGAACGAAAAATATATTAGAAGGTGTTACTGGTAAAAGCGTTGTCAAACACTGAATACCTGTCACATCCTCAATAGTATACGCATACTAAGTACTTTGTGTTTGTATGTAAAGAGAACAGTGATGATCCAACTCTAAAGTATTTTCTCGTGAGATATGTCTGTACGTATGGATGTAAACGCAGTTCGTCTGAGTCAGATGCTTGTTTTCAGGATGTAGATGATGATAGAGCACACAACTTATAACTCGTCACCACAACCTAGACAAAAAAAAAGTCGGTCACCTAGCAGCACCTGATTAGTGAATTTTCAAGGACTTAGCGATACCATGTACCGAAAAATGGTAAAACCCCTTCTCATTTAATCGTAAAAACGGAAAATAAACTCGCAAATTTATTATGAATTATTTCGAATTTTGGCTGTGCACAAAGCAGAAGTAAGAAAGTAGCGCAGAGAAGCGTCGCGATACCCCTGGAGCGTTGCCACACACTAAGCACGGAGAAATTCAACATCCCGGGCACTGAAGATCACGTGTCCAATATTTCCAACTACATCGAACTTGCGTATGATAAATGATTAATATACTTTTATCTCCGTAGGTGGTAGAACTATTGTATGTATTAGATATAGTCGCGTTTATGAAACCTGGTCATCAAACAAGAGTATTTCAGACTTTTAAACATACGCTTGTTAGTTTGTTGATTTCGAAGCTATATGAATAAGCTTGACATATAATTGTGAGACTAATAGTGCTAACTATACCTGTGTTCTCTGGTAGTAATTCCACTTGCCAGACTATCATATGCAGAGGTGGTAAAGTGTTAAACAACTGAACTGGCAATTCATATCAGGAGAATTTTAACGGTGATCCGATACAGATCCTTGTCTATGGAACTAACAGCATCCAACCAGTAAATGTCCATTAGAAGTCGTTGTCAATATCCATCACTGGAAAGCTGTTTGTTTTGTGGATTTACTTAACACTACAACTTACTCCCTCCTACTGGGGTAGTGATGACTCTAATACGTGACCAGCCACAAGTTTAAATCCAACGACCCTGCCGTTGATAAGTACTGTTCTGATAGCTTTCTATGTCCTCCAACGTATAGTATTTCCTCACTACACGGAGTTACATAGTACAATATTATGACAATAAATAATATTCTTCATCAGTCTTTCGTCTTTCCAGTCCCAATCAACCAACAAAGGGGAAATAAAGGGATAAAAACGTAAATAAAAAGGAAATTTCGCTTTTTCGCCTTCACGTCGGTTATTTAGGGGAAATTTCGATTTTCTCCCCTTACGTTGAGTATTTGGGGATATTCGTCGACACTTATACGTAACGTACAGTGTTTGAATATGCCACATCCCGTACTTATGTTTTCATAAACGTCAACAAAATAACGCATCGTTTAATAAAAAAACTATTGACATAAACATAAGTAACAAAATACGGACACAGAGATTTGGCTGAGACGCATATACACTGACTTCGTTGTTTGTTCAGCTAAAGTGTTCCGACACTCTTGGTAGCCATCACAAATAAATTGCGTGATTATAATATTTGAAAGTATTTGAATTATCGTATGATCTAGGAATCCCGGAATTAACGCAATCGAATATAGAAGTACTAGATGAGCACAAACGAATGTATTGTATTTAGAATTCGAAATCAAGCAATCAACAGGTACAAAAGAATCATTAGTTCGTTCGAACACCATAGTGATGTAAGTGAGTGACGTGCTGTCCGTTTTTCAGGTTCATTATGACTAATTACCTTGTTAGCCCAACGCGATGAGTTCAGTTAAAGTCACTGAGAGAGCTCGTAGACATAGGGAAAATATTAACGTATCAAGCGTCCTCGGCCGTCATAGATTGGCTTTTAACAGACGGTAGAATAAAATGCGAACAGCTTTCATGAAAAAACATAACTTGCTTTCGTTTAGCCAGGTCGCTAATGAAAGTACGGTCAAAGGTAACTGACTTTAGCACTGGTGTATGTTTAATCGATAGCAGTTAAGAGAGAAATTAGTTGTAATGAGAATCCTTTAACTGTTACATCATCCACTGGCTAAAGCAATGAAGGGCTTCTAGATGATCATGGTGTGTATATGAAGTTAATACGTTAATACATTTCTTATAGGATGTAATGACGTTAATTTTTGCTCTCAAAAGTTCATAAATCGTAAAGACCAGATCAACAATGTATTGATGAAATTAATTATAACAACATTTCTGGTTTCAGACTTATCAAGGAGCATTAGAAGTGTCCTTAGGACATGCAAAAGTGTTCAACCAAAGTTCATCGGCAGTGGTGTTTACTACCACCTCTGATTGAAAACCAATCTGTTTAGATATGTTGAACTTTGGTTGTATATCTTGATTTTGATACTTTAAATCTATATAATAATGTAGATGAACTTTCTAATGTCTAGGAGCTCTAATCTACATTTATGTTCAATATTAGGACAGATCGTTGCCCCAAGGTTTGATGACGTGTTCATAATAGGGATCTACGGAGGGAATACTAAACCTGCCGAATTCAACAAATTTTCTCCGGACAAAATTTCTGAAATAAAAGGAATGACTGACGTGGGTCTGTTTAGTGTTAAGATTAATATTAAAGTAGCTATTTAGTTGTCCGCTGTAATATGTGATAACGTTATCCATGATTAGAGAATAATGGGATTGAAGTTGCATGTGCACGTCGAATGCACTCGTACTAGCGTAAGCAAGTTAAATGTGTAAAAAACAGATATGTGCGGATGTACATACTATACTACAGCGAGAAAAATGCGACACAAAAAGGCTTTTAAGATTTTTAAAAAGTGTACGTACATAAGCATACTAAAGGCAATTTTTTAACGCAACGATGAAAAAATATGACAACCCAAGCATATTTCATGTTGTAACCCGAAAATGGGATGAACCAAAAGGTTTCAGAATTCAGTACTCATTCAAGTGTACAGAAGACCTTACAGATCTGATAGTAAGAATCGTTTTTGCAGATTATCAGATACCCGCGATGTTTCGTCGTGATTGGGAAAAATCAAGGATTACTTAATAGACACGAGAATTCTGTCGTTCACTTATTTAGCGAGAAAGTCAACGTAGATAAATTTCCCTCTATTAAAGCAGCTTTTGGACAGTCGATGTAACTCGAATCTCAATTACACAGATAGATGTAAGCATCTATCTTTAGAACCTTTATGGCACCGTAGGCTAAAGAACAATTTAATATTTCTCTACAAAGCGATATATGGGCGCTCCTTTCTAACCTCCTGCCCGACTATCACCCACGACCCAGCCTATAGACTTAGAAACAACGCATATACACTACTTACCGTAAAACACCAAAGCAAATGCGTTGTAAGTTATTTACAGTACGGTATAGTGTATTGTGGAACAGGCTGCCAATGCGTATCCGTAACTGTAATACGTTTACCAGATTCGAAAAGCTAATAACCCTATTTCTAGACTCCAAAGAGCTTCAACATTTCCTTGAACTCCCGCCCACCAATGAGGCACTTTATTACGGACCGCCTAGTATCTAGAAAGAACAAGATTATAACAAGTTCGACTGTTACTAATATGAATATAACCAAATCACAGAATATATGGCTTATCCTTTCCTATTATTCATTGTTTATTATTCATGGCCTTATGCTCCTAACCCTAGCCTTCAGTTCCCAAATCTCTACAGGTTAAATGTACATTATTCTTTCCAAAAGTCGCGCCTTTTTTCTACTGCAAGTAGACAGATAGCTCAATCTTATGGATGCTGATCTACTAAGGCCGATCATACAAAGCTCAAAATCTGGCCACAAAGTCTTGTGAGTTTCTTAATGTTTTATTTTTCTTACCCTGACATCTTTTTTTTCTTTTTACAATTTTATACCCTCTCATATCTTTTGATTTGCTATTAGTCCTTACTTCTTTAAACCATTAGTTATTTTCATAGCAGTGTGATATACTATGTGGACATCTAACCCATAAAACAGACTTTTCAACTATCTGATTTGCTTGTAACATGGACCTAGTAGAGACGGTGTATTCCGACCATGGGCTTTGATTAAAACAGTATTCATACTTACCACAAACGTAAGAGAGCCTAACATCACAAAAGGAGGGAGGGTGGCATTACTGAC